GTATAATCGGGGTTTTGGTCAATGCACTGACTAACGATTACATACTGACAGCTGTTAACAAGCGTAGAAAACAGTGCGCGAAATGTCGTCGAAGCAAAACTTACAAATCTGTCAAATCTTTCAAGCATCGTCCATGGAACCATTTACGACAGATAGCACAAAACAGCTCCAGCGTGCCCATTTCGCGTTTGCCATCGCTAAAAAAACAAAAAAAAAAGCATTTTGAAAATCACTCACGCTGCTCAAGAACTTGAATTTTGCAGTTTTTTTTGCACAGAAGAAAGATGAGCCCCTCTGCTTACGATGCATTACTACTTCGCAATCATAACGAGCAGTACCAGACATTCGCAAGTGCGTGAGAGATCAAAGAACTACGCCAAATCTTGAAAAAAAATGGCTCAAATTAAAGCAAAACTGTGCTGCCTCTTCAGCAGAGAAAAGAGCGCATTTTCGTAAAAAGGCCGAGCAAGCCGAGCTCTGTCGATTTACTCACCACAGGGCCAACAGCAATACTATTGTACAGAAGCAGCAGCAGCACCTGAGAGACAACCGAATCAGTGGGCTGCAGAAGCGAAAGAGCAGCCAGCTAGTGCTCGTATAGCAATTTCCTAACAGAATAAAATATGAAAAAAAGGAATACTAAGCAAAATCCGAAAAAACAAAATCTCAAAAAAAAAGAAAAATACTAAACCAAATTGGAATGACCAAGTTCGAAAAAAAATACTCAGCAAAATTCAAGAGAAAGAAACAAATTCGAAAAAAAAAATACTAAAGCAAATTGGAAGGACCAAATTCGAAAAAAAGTACCAAACCAAATTCAAAAGAAAGAAACAAATTCAAAAAAAATACTAAATCAAATTTGAAATTACCAAGTTTTTTTAAAAAAAAAAATATTAAACCAAATTGGAAGGAACAGATTCTAAAAAAAATTCTAATTCAAATTTGAAAGAACCAAATCCAAAAAAAAAATTGGCCAACGCACGGGCTGCCCGTGCGAAGATGCGTTTTTTGCAGAGTTCCCCGC